GCAGGGTGTGTGAGAGAGACAGACAGAGACAAGAAGAGGCAGAGAGAGAGATAATCCTTACAAATATGGTTAGTGTTTTTCTAAATTCCCTTTGCTTTCCTAGGCACACTTTCTTTTCTTTTCTTTTTTTTTTTAGATAAATGTTCTCCTTCTGTTGCCCAGGCTGCAGTGCAGTGGTGCAACCATAGCTCACTGTAACTTTGAATTCCTGGGCTCAAGTGATCCTCCCACCTCAGCCGCCCAAGCAGCCGGGACTACAGGCGTGTACCACCACGCTTGGCTAATTTTGTAACTTTTCATAGAGATAAGGGTCTTGCTTTGTTGCCCAGGCTGGTCTTGAACTCCTAGCCTTAGGTGATCCTCCCACCTCAGCCTCCCAAAACTCTAGGATTATAGGCCTGACCGTGCCTGGCCCAAATATTCTTATATAAACTTACTTTCATAAGAAAGCTGAAACTCGTCCCTCCTTTCCAGGTTGATGTGCTACCTCAATGAAACCCATAATTTGACATCTGAATCTGTACTATGTATGCAGACACTGTATGGTTTCTACCTCATGAAAACAAGTGAAAACCTTTGCCTTTCACTGGATCCACTCTAGGCATATGGCTTCTCTTTTAACTGCCTATGATAAAGATCCGAAATATATCAAGTTTTATTATCTTAGCCATCCCCTGGTGTGTTTCAGTCTCGCTCACATTTGAACCTTTTTGACCTATACAGAAAATGTGGTGAGTTTAAAGATGTCAGTTTAAGAACAAACCCCAACTCAAATTTGTTTAGCCACTCTTTCTAACTTATCAAGTTAACTTAGAGGATAAATCCAGAGCTGAGTGTTTATTCCTTCTTGTCTTTTATTTTTTATTCCTTCCTAAAAGTTATCAGGGCCTGCTTGAATTATAGTGCATTTTTTCTTGTCAGAGCTGATTTGATTTCTGGCTCCCCTGCCTCCCAGCCTACCCTCTGTGTCATGCTGCAGAGGCGGCAGATTGGCGCTCTGGATTTGAATTTCAGCAGCATGCCTGCTGTCTACTGCCAGAGACATTTAGCAGATGGGCTTGCAGAGGGAGAGCTGGGTCTCGACAGGGAGGGGGCCTCAGGGGAAGAGGCTCCTATGGGACGGGCTGGCTCTGCCCGTTCTCACCTTGCCATTTTGACCCTGGCCCACTACTGTGTCTGTCACAAGATTAGCAGAGGCTCAGTTTTTGTTGTTGTTGTC